TTTGGGGTAGGGGCGTGTTTGTTTTGGTGATTTCAAATATCAACATTGGCTACCAGAAATCACTTACTCTGCCTTTAATCGTTTGACAGCACTATTAAATACAAAAATCATGCTGAGACCAAACTTTGAAATGGTAGTGTATGTTTAAATTATTTTCTGACTTCCAGAGACAGGGTGTTTGTTGGAAAATGTTAGATTTCATTTCTTTGACCACAAATCACACCGGGTGTGGGATACTTTGAGCTCTCGTTGCTCTCAAGTCCATTTCCTTTAGAAAGCTTTCACATCCACACTGGGTGATTTGACATGACATGTTGTGTAAATAAACAGTTCCTGACCTTACTGATTCTCTTGTGTCTAAATGGGAGAAAATCCCTGCAGCCATGTTCCATCATCTAGTGAAAAACCTTCCCAGAATTTTGGAAGTTGTTACAACAACAAAAGAAGAACAAACTCCCTATTGATGCCCATGGTTTTGAAACGAAATATTCAGTTAGCACTTGGTATGGTCCACATATTTTTGGTTGTTGTCTATGTTGATATGAGGAGGGGACACATTTCTGAACCCCTCAAGTTGATGTGACTCAGACAACCTATCTCTTCATAAATGACTATTTCATAAATTGCTGTTTATGTTGAAGAAATACTTTGCCACTGTTCTTTCTGTAATTAGGTTAACTCAGAGTTATAGATCTTTTGTATCTGAATTGATGAGCATGATTTTCATCATGTCTCTTTGCTTAGGTCTGGCATGCCCTGATATCTGTGTGCTTTCTTAACTCTGCCTCTTGATTGTTGGTTTGTTGTATTAGAATGTAGATGCTACATCTGTACTTTTGAATTGTTCTGCTTGGTTGCTCACATTTGTGTTCTCACCTCTGTTAGCAATGTGTGTGTGTTTGTCTTGTCTATCCTATGTGCACTGTCTTTGTATATCCTGAACTAACATCCTTTCTCTCTGTCTCTCTTTCTCTCACACTGTCTCTTTTTTGGACTCCTTTCCCCCCGTGTCATTCTTTCCCCTCCTGCGGTCTGATACTGTGGCTGTCTGCGTCTGGGTGTGGGGGCACTTTCCTCTTCCGTGCACTGCATCCTTCCTTCCCATACTTTCATTCCTCTACAGGACGGAGGTATAGCATAATGTGCCCTCTCAGTAATGACTCGGTCCTGTCTGCAGGCTTCCAAATAGATACGCCAGACAACCTGGGGAGGACGTGTCTGCATGCCGCAGCTGCGGGCGGGTGAGTCTGTCTGTCTTGCAGATCTGGATTATGCCTGTTGGATGGCATGAAAAATATGTGCTGGTGTTTGCTTACTTTTCAAAAATGTATTTCAGAATTACAAATTCAAACAAAAAAATATTTAGCTTAGCTGAAATCGCACATAAAGACCGTACATTTCATGTGTGCATACACACTGTAGAGATGTGGATGTAGAGTTATTACTAATAAGGTTATTTGACCTTTCCTAATGACTACCTTATCGTCCATTGTTCAGACAAATACCGGTATTGTCGGACCTGTTGTCTGTCCGCATTCCAGCTCACGGCAAGTAATTTTTTTTATCTCTCAATCTCTCTGTCAGGAATGTGGAATGTGTGAAGCTATTGCTCAGCAGTGGAGCCGATCATAACCGCAGGGACAAACATGGAAGGTGAGTTTTTGGTAAACACAAGACATGTACATCAGGATAATTCTCTAAAAATTCTACATAGACAGTATACATATCTGTGCTATTCAGTGCATTCAGGAGCAGTGAGTGAATTTGTCTAAAATCACACATTTTCTTTACATTTTTCGACATGTTACCAACATGTTTTTTAAAGATTTGTTAAGCATTAAGTCAAAATAATGTTTTAATTGTTAAGCTTTTTAAAATGCTGGGTTAATGGAAAACTTTATCATCATTTTACCGTATAGTAACATTTCAACCACATACAGTGGGTACGGAAAGTATTCAGACCCCCTTAAATTTTTTCATTGTATTTTTATACTGATAATTTCTAAATAATTTATGAATATAAATAATATTCATTGTCATATATTATAAATGTCATTATGTCTCTTTAAAAATTAAATACATTTTCATGAAAACTTGTATTTTGTGCTAAATTTAACTGAAATCTCAAGTTCTCAGTTGTTTTAGAATCACAGAGTTGTCATCACTGCACACATTAAATGAAGCGATTCCTACTGTACTAATTTGTTTGTACTCTGAAACTGAAACTTTCTTAAATGTTGTCAAATTCTTGTGACGGACAGATCGTTAACACTCACTGCAAGACAGATGGAGGCGCCAGTGCGGTCACTTGCTCTTAAAATACTCCGTCATTTTTGGTCATACAGATAAGAGTAATACATCCTTCGAATCGGTAAAGACTTTCGTTTATTTGTGTGCAACATAACAACAAAACATTGCACTTTTGCAAAATAATGAAAGCAAACAGGATACGCTTTCTGCTGTCTCAGTCTCTGTGAACTTGAGCACGTCAAAAAAAAGATTATGTAAGTCATGTGAAACATGGATACAGGCGCATCACTTCTGCGGAGATGAAGATTCAGTTTCGCTGACTTCATCTCTTAAGCCGAAACACAAAGAAAGCACTACTGTTTTTGTGCTGTGTGCTGTGGCAAGCTTTATGTGTGCACTTGAGCGCTTATTAGGCAATTACAGGCTCATTATTATGATTTAAATGGTTTATTAATAAACGTGTGATTAGTCAAAAATCGCTTGACTGATGAATGACTACTAGTCAACCAGAAAAATCTTTAGTCGAGGGATGCCCTAATTTGCACA